GACTTCCTCTCACATCCCTCTGTCTGCCCTCTTCCGTGGACCCAGGTGCTGCCAGGCCCACTGCACTTAACACATGTGTGGTCACCGCCCCACTGGGCTCGTTGGGGTCACTCTGCAGGCCCTGCCCCACCGCGCCCCACCCCACTGGAGCCCCCTCCCCCTCCGGGAGCAGAGCGGTGGGTGGGTGGGCCAGGGCTGCTGCGGAGATGAGCGATGCTTCTAGCCCTGTCCTGCCAGTGACGAGTTGCGATTCCCTCCTTCCCGGGAGGCCCCTGCATCACCTCTGAGAGGGGCATGTGGAGGCCGAAGCTGTCTGGCCTGGAAGTCCTGCCCACAGTAGGGCTCCCCAGCCCTCCTCCACGCTGACCAGGGCTCCTGCCTGGCTGGACAGGAGGCCTCTGCCCCTCCAGGAACCTCTGTCTCGCCAGCCACAATGAGGAAGGTGAAGAGGGTAGAGGCTGGGGTACTGTCCTGTCCCTCCCCTGTTTATCTTGTGGGTCCCAGTCCTCATGTCTCCCGCCCTGGAAAGACATCCCAAGCCCTCTGGCCTGCACAAGGTCCACCATCTAGGTGCCACACATCTAGGTGCTTCACATCGGCTAGGAGGTGGGGCTTTCCCCGCCTACAGGGTTGCCTGGAGAAGGAGAAAACCCCAAATCAGGTCATTCGCTCCCATCTCCCCTACCAGACTGTGAGCTCTGCGTGGGGGCTTGGCTGTCCACGCTTTCGCTGATCACCTGCTCTGTGCATGGTGCTTTGCTGGCTGTTGGGGACACAGCAGGGATCGGCCGACAGTCCTGACCTCACAGGGCTTTCCTGAGTGTCAGATGATGCAGAGCAGGAGGGGTCGTGAGGACCAGGGGCTGGGGAAAGGCCTCAGGAGGGGTACTTGAGTGGAAGCTGAAGGGGGTGGGGCGAGCAGGCAGGTACTTGGGACAAGGGGCCTCCTGGGCAGTGGCCAGGAGGAAGGCTCCAGGTGGGAGCGCAGAAGGAGGTGCCAGGGAGCCCAGGACTAGTGGCAGTGCCAGGACTGTGCTCTTGCAATCTGAGCAAGGGACCCGGCCTCACTGCCTGGTTGAGTTGTGTTGAGGCTGGACGGTGGGCCAGGCAGAAGCTAGGCCATTTGAGAAGCTTCCCGGAGAGATCCACGCAGAGAACATGGGGTAGGGACAAGGCTGGCAAGGAGGTGGCGTGCCGTGCGCAGGCCCAGGAGGTGTCCTGAAGGTCGAGTTCCCGACCTCCCTGGATTGGACATAGGCAGGACAGGGCCAGGAGGTGAGAGGCCAGTGGGCAGTGCGTGGGGCTGTGGTGGGCAGTTTGGGGCCCAGAGTTAAAAGTTCAGTTTGGGAGAAGTTGAGCTGGAGGCACGCAGGAGCCGTGAGGGAGGTGCTGGGCACAAGAGCCACTCGGAAAGGCCAGGAGTGGACACTTGGGATCTGTCACAAGGGTGTGAATTTAGTGCCATGTGGTTGCCAAGGGAGGGAGAGTAACAGAGGGTGGAAGTCCAGGATGAGGAGGGGACCCGGGGTGGGGTCCCACAGGAGGAGACACTGTTCAGATCTGGCCCAGAACCACAGGTTGATGGCAGCATGAAGCAGGGCACCCTTGGCCAGAGTGGGTTGGTGGACGTGGTGGGGGCGGGGACCTGTCTGGAACAAGATCCAGGACATGGGGAGGAGGAATGCGACAGTGAGTGTGGAGGGGGAGCAGGTCTGGGAGGTGACAAGTTTTCTGCTTTGGTCAGATGGGAGGCTGGTGGGAGTGGTCTGTGTGGGGGTCCAGGCTGAGTGACAGGAGGGCCTGGCACCCGTGTTCAGGAGTTCAGGAGTGCTGCAGGGGGGAGGGGAGGCAGAGCCACAAGCCCATGCAAGGACAAGGGGTGTGTGTGGACATCTCTGGGGTCCCCAAGGAGGCTGCTGATTTGAGTGGGATGAATGGAGGGTGGCAACAGCCAGGGAGGAAGAGAGGGTGGCCTGGTGGGCACATGGCACCCCCTGGGGTCCTGGCTGTGGACTGAGTGAGGCGGGTGGCTGACAGGGCACTTTCATGTGCTGGAATGAGCCTGGGAAAGGGTGGGGTCTGCAGAGCACTGAGACCCGGCCAAAGGAGTGGTGGGGCCAGGGAGGACCAAGCTGGGAGAGGACACCTGAGGAGGCACCTCCAATGAGGCTGGGTGAGAGGCGAGGCTCAGCCTCCCCCAGTGTATTCTTTTTCAGGTGGCCAGGGATGAGCGGACGGTGGTGCCTGTTGTGCACTGCACAGCTCCAGGGGCAGCAGAACGAGGCCTCCAGAGTGCTCAGGGCGTGAATGGCCTCTGTGCTCCTCCCTCCCACGCCTGCAGTCCTCCAACTGCTTCCCCTGCCTGGCCACAGAGACCTGCCACTGCACCACGCGCCTGCCTGCTCCTTCTCCAGCCCTTAAGTCACAGGCTGGAGAAAGAGCAGGTCACCCAGCCTGGTGGCCACATTTTGCAAAAACTGCCACGTGCAGGTGCTGGAAAGCCTGCGGGGTACGTGACACTCAACAGAGGACTTTGGACTTGCTGCCACAGGCCATGGGCGGGTGACCTTATTTCATCTTTATGTCAAACACTTCAGTGAGTGTCACAAGCACACCAACTGGACTTGTCCTCCTCCTCTTAGCTTGGCGTGTTTTCTGAATCTTCTACAACAGATAAGGATTGCTTTGCTCAGGAGACAATTCTTATAACTTCTCTCAGCGCTGCCCCTGTCTCTTGCTCGCTCTGTCTATGTCGCCTTGTTCTTTCTGGCGTGGGGTCTGTGTATCTATCTATCCCCTAGCCCCGGCTGCAGGCTGGAAGCAGCAACTTTCTTGAGACTTTGGTGTCTGGAGCCCACACCCCAGCGCCTGTCTTGCTCACATAGCTGATACCTGTTTCTCATCCCCAGGCTCAAGTGTGAGCACATGATCTGCATTCATTGAGTGCCTACTGTATGCCTGGTTCTGGGATCCCTTGGGAGGAGGGCCTTTGATCTTTGCAGACAGACAAGGAGACCCAGCAGGGAGGTGGCACAGAGCATAGGACACAGTGGGAATGCAGAACTCAGATCAGCCTTGGGGGTGCACAAGGCCAGATGAGGACCTGGGACCAAGGAGGAGCACAGTGGTACCTGAAAGCCTTCAGGGGCTGGGGTCTTGGAGGAGTGCGGAGCCCAGCACAGTAATGGCAGAGGCTCAGAGTCAGAGTGGAGCACCCAAGGTGTGGCCAGGGTGGGGCCCTGATAAGCAGGGCCTGGCAGGACCAAGTGAGGCCTGAGGCCTGATAAAGTATGGACTTTATTCAGAGGGCCACCAGGTAGGAAAGAAGCTGCTAGAAAGAGTGCTTGGGCTGCTGGGCCCCAGGGAGCTGGCCCAGTCGAGGGGCAGGATGTGGTGGTCTTCACTGTAGGGGTGGCAGTGCTGGGCAAGGGCCAGGGGGACCAGATTGGGAGTGTCCTGGCTCCTGGCTTGGGGACCGTGGAAAGATATGCTGTGTGAGGTGCTGGTAGGGACATCTTTGGTGGCCCCAGGGAACTGCCACTAATGCTGCCTCCCAACTCAGTCATCAGAGGAAGTTCTGGAGGCTGAGTATCGAGTATCGTGGGGACCTGTGAGACAGTTTTCCAGAGAGCGCTGGCCACCACCTTCTCGGCCCTTCACCCAACCCACGCCCTATCTGCACACACTTCGTGGTTGCTCCTTCCTTACCAGCTTTTCAGGTTCTCCTGACCGCTGCCCTCAGGGTCGAGAAAACCCAGTTCCAGGAACAGCCCTGGGTGGCACAGTGTTGCCCTTGTCTCCTCCTGGGAAATCCCTGGTGGGTCAGCAACTTTGGAGGGCAAGGGTCAGGATGATTATCTGGGGTGACAGTGGGGGACCCCTGTTCTGCACCTGCTTGCATGCCCCTGGCACGGGGAACTCACCATCCACATGGGCTTCACACAGCTGGGCAGGAGGCGGTCCCCACCTAGGTGCCTGCTCAGAGCCCTTGTGTGGCTTGGGGTTGGAAGACCTGTTTCTGCTCCTTCCAGTGGACCCAGAGAAGCTGCCCTGGCTCCCTGCCAGGGGTCAGTTTCGGGAAAACACCTTCCTGCCTCAGGCTTGAACAAGCCCTGGGGCAGCCAAGCGAGTGGGTCATCTCACATTTCTTGGGTTAGTCCGGTTCACAGGGTCTGAAGAACGTGGAGAGCAGCAGGTGGGGTAAGCCCTAAGCCCAAGAGGCACTTTCCTTAATTACTGGTGTCAAAGAGGCTCAAAATGGGAAACGGGCATCTCTAGCCCTAGAAACAGGAAAGGTGGGCCCTGGGGATGTTTCCCACCCCGCCAGCCTGTCTTCTGACCCCTCGCCTGGCATCTCGGCGGGCATGCACGGGGAGTGGAGAAACCAGGCGGGAAGTACTTCGAACACCCTGGAACAAGGCGTCTCCTGCTCCCCAGGAAGCTGGGTCGGCTCCAGCCTCAGTTTCTCCATTGGCCCACTGTCCTTCCTTCTGGAGAGTGGCAGAAGGACGGTGGGAAGTGGGGCCTTGAAAGGCAAACCCGAAGCCTCTGTAGGGAGCCCCCGCGGGATCCTAAACCTGGAGCTGCCCCTCCCCCCCGCGTCCAGGGTTAGGGCCGGCGGGGCGGGGCCTCAGTGGGCGTGGTCTGCCTAGGGGCGGAGAGGGAGGCCCGGCCGGAGCCAGTACGGGAGTGGGGGTTGACCAAAGGGGGTGTGGCTTGCCGGGACGGGACCGACAGGAGGCGTGGCCTGCCGGGGGCGAGGCCTATCGGGGCGGGCCCTCGGGGTACTTGGCCCTTGGGGGCGGGGCCTCCGGGGGCGGGACAGGCGGCGGCGCGCGGGCTCAGGGTCCGGCAGCGGCGAAGGTGGTGGCCACGGCTCCTTATCCCTGCGGCTGCTTGCGTGCGGGCCAGCCGGTCCGCGCGTCCCTCGGTGTGTTTCCGCCGGCGGGCCGAGCGGGCCAAGCCCGCGTGGGGAGCACCCGCCGGCCGCATGGCCGCCATCAAAGCGCTGCAGCAGTGGTGCCGGCAGCAGTGCGAGGGGTACCGCGACGTGAACATCACCAACATGACCACGTCGTTCCGTGACGGCCTGGCCTTCTGCGCCATCCTGCACCGCCACAGACCTGACCTCATGTGAGTGAGGCTTGCCCTGGGCTGGGGCAAGGCGGGGGGAGTCAGAACTCAAGGGCATGCCCGGGAGATGGGCCACCTGGGACTGGGAAGGGCAGGCATCCACAGCACAGCCCACCCCCTCCGAGGCTGCACCCAGCGGCCTCAGTGCGCCGTCCATCAAGGGCAGCTGGGCCACGGCCAGAACAGCCGCCGGCTTAGTCAGTGGTGACTCAGGGCAGTGTCCTGGGCCCCATTTGCCACCCCCCTCCCTGGGAAAGACCCAGCAGAGCTACCCCTTTGGGCCCTCTGGGACTGGATACTCCCCTGGGGTCTGCAACAAGTCCCTGGCCCTTCCAGGCATCTAGTGCAGGTGCTGCCCCTGTCCCCAGCCTGCTCAGGCTCCTGGGAATACAGTCCAGCATCACTGCCCAGAGGGGCAATCAGAGCAGAAAGCCCTGAGACCCCACATCCTGTTGGCAGGCCTCTGCATCCTGGGGTGATGGGGACATGAGGAGACTGGGTCCCTGTTCCTGGGAACTACAGGAGGTGGGCAGGCCCTCTCTCCCAGGAGGGTCTTGGCATGGGTGGCTGGGAGTCTGGCCCTGCCTTGCTGTTGGATCTTGGCCCTCGCTGAATCTGTTCCATCAGTTATTCACTCAGCAAATGCTCTTTGGCTGAATGGCCGGACCAGGACTGGGGTGCGGGTGTGTTTGCCAGGGAGGTCTTGGGGGCTGGCTGAGGCCAGAGGCAGCACCTTCTGGACCCAGCCTCAGGCTCCCTGCTGTGCACACAGGGAAACTGAGGCGGAGGGAGGTGGGCCCTTGCCAGGTCACACAGCACACAGGCTGAGCCAGGGCTGGCACCCTGCTCTTCCCCTGTACCAAGCTTTGCTTTCCCCAGGAAGCTGGGAGTCTTGAGCAAGAGGCTGTGGCTCCTGCCCAAGGTTGTGATGTACTTTTGTGGAGCTGCCCAGGGGATCTCTGTGGGGCACGTTGCAGCCTCTGCTCCCTGCCCAGGCATGAGCCTCATTGCCCTTGGAGGTGGAGATGTTTCCACGGTGTGGAGAGCCTGAGGCTGAGCTTTGATGGCCAGTGGGCCACGGGCATGGTGGCTGGGAGAGGGACCTGGAGTGGGGAGGCTGCAGGGTAAAGCTGGCTGGAGACTCACCCAGGCAGCCCAGATGGGCTAGGGGGCAAGTCCTGAAGCCTTCAAGTGGAGGGAAGATGGGCTACCGTTTGCTGGCCCTGCAGCCTTGGATGGGTGTCACTGGGCATCTGGGGCTTTTCTGACCCTGGAGAGCTTCTGCTCCCAGCTCTCTGGGGTCAGAGGCTGGATGTGCTTGTGCCCCTGGCCCAGCACACAGTGCCCACATGGAACAGAGGTGTGCACGTGATTATGTACACGCATGTGCACAGGCAGACACCACATACCTATTCATTTAACTGATGGCTGCTGAGCACCCGTGGTGTACCCAGCATTGTGTAAAGTCCCCAAATACAGTGAGCCCCGCCGTCCTAGTCCCAGAGTGGAGCAGTGAGCAGGCCAATGACTCAAGGCTCAGAGTGACTTCAGAGAGTGGAGGCCACCACAGGCAGAGGAGGCTGGGTGCAGCGACTTGTGCACTGCTGGCTTGCTTGCTGTCTGTCCCCACTGGTCTGTCACTTGCAGCTGTGGGGGTATTCTTATTTACTGCGGTAGCCCCTATGCTTGGTGCCCTGTGAGGTGGATGTTGGCCATAGCTGGAGCCTCACGGGCAAGAGCGCACACCCGGGGTGCTGTGGATGTAGTGGGGGCCCGAGGAAGAGCCGAAGAGACAGATAAGGCGTGGTGGGGCTACGAGCCCAGGGGTGCTGGAGCCAGCAGGCCTGGCCTGGCCTTGAGGTTGGGCTTCTGGCCCCCTGGACTGAGGAAGTGCGCTCCTCAGTTTGTGGCTCTTTGTTACACAGACGTGGGTTACAACAGGGTTGGTGGCTATTGGCTAATGGGACACCAGAGGGGGGAGCACATGCCTGTGCCTGTCTCCTGCCTTGCCTGGCCATGCCTCTGGGCCAGAGATGCCTGGGGCGAAGCACAGTGAAACCCTAAGCTGATCTTTCTGTCCCCAGTAGCTACCAGGAAAGGAGGCAACTTGTGAAGGACAGGTTCTTGGGGGAGCGCTGAAGTCAGAGTTCGGGTGAGACCTTGGTCTGGTGGGACCCAGCCCCCAGTACTCCTGTCTTCTTCTCCTTACATGAAGACCCTCTGGTAGCAGGAAGGTGGACATCCTGTCTTCATATCCCTAGCTTTGCCACCAGGAAGGCCTTCCTTTTGTCTGACCTCAGTCCTTCCTGCTGCATGCTGAGCATGTTTCCTTTGGCCCTCAGGGGAGAACAGCTGTGAGGGAGCAAGTATAGGGCACTGAGCCAGCCCAGGTGGGGCACCCGGCTCCTGGTTATGCCCGGCAGGTTGGGGGAGTTCACCTGAACTGTATCCCTGCTCCTCCCACCGGAAGGTGTGTGTGAATCTCCACTTGCGGATCCGGAAACAGGCAAGTGGGGCGGCTCCCTGCCCAGTCAGCTGCCCCGAGTGCCCCAGAGCTATAGAGTCTCTGCAGGCAGCTCTCTAGGATGCGTGCTGACAGGGTCTGTTTCTACCATGAGCCACAGCTGCCAGCTGCCAGGTGACTCCAGAGCCACCCAGAGCAAACAGCCCCACCCTCCCCAAGCCTGAGAAGTGAACCTGTCAGGGCTGGCAGTGCTGCAGGGTGACCCCGGACCCCTTCCCCTTCTGGGCCTGACCAGGAACCACCCTTGGGCTCTCTGAGGCAGGCGGGAGCTGGGTGGAGGGAGTGGGCAGCCACCCCGCACCTGCCCAGGGGCCCTTCCGGTGGTCAGGAAACCCTACAGCCCTCCTCTGGGGATCAAGGACGCAGGGTCCATTTTCAGAACTTGGGGGGCCCTGGGGTTGTGCAGATACCCCCTCCCCAGCCTCAGTCATGTGGCGGGGTGGCCTGAACATTCTCCAAGCCTCTCCAGCTCTGGAGGCCGGTGGCTGAGGCCAGAAGCAGCGGGTGACTGACCAAACCTTGCAGAGCCCTTGGGTGGTGGCACCCTGTCTGGCGGGACTCCCCCAGGGTCCCCAAGGCTCTAACTCGCCTGTGGCAGGGTCCCCAGGCCTCTCACTCACATGGGAGGCCCTGCCTGGAAGCTTGAGAGGCTGCCCTCTCTCCCTCCCGGGCGTGGGCGCGCGGGGGTGGCTATCGTGGCTGGGTGACCTCCTCCCCCTCCCACACAGGCCCTGTGGTCACAGGAAGCTGCCTGGGGACAGAGGCCTTCTGTTCCAGGCCTGAGGGCCTGCTGCCCAAGCCCCTGCTGCTGCCTTCCTGCCCGGGCTCTTCAGAATGGCTCCCGCCCCTGGGGGCAGCCCTGGCCAGCGCTGGCCCTGAGGCCCAGCCCCGCTGCCGCCCAGTGCTGTTTGTCTCGGTGTCTCTCTGGGTTTTTGTTTCTGGATCCCGCGAGGTGGGGGCCTCTCCGTCTGTCTGTCTGTCTGTCTCCCTCTGCCCCCATCCTGGTAGGATTAACTCCAGATGTGCTGGAGGTTTCTGGAAGACACACAGCCGGGATCTTTCCCTCCCTGTCCACCCTGCATGGCTGCATTTGTCCTGGGAAACATGGGACCCGCCATCTGGGAGCGGGAAAGGGGGTTGACATTCCCAGAAGCCCTGCCCTCGGGTGCCGGAGTGGGAGCCATCGCCTTCCCTGGTTGAACTTAACACTCTGTGGGGCCTTGGTGGCCTGCGGGAGGCAGGGTTGTGCCTTGATCTGGCCAGGCTGGGCACACACTGGGCGTAGTTGGCAGACACGCGTGACTGGCCACTGTAGGCCCCGCGGACTCATCTGTCCTGCCAGTGTTCAAAGAACCGACGATGGCCGTGGAACCCCTACTCTGCAGACACGAGTGGACTCCTTCATCAGCAAGCATGAATAGAGCACCAGCTGTATACCTGGCCCTGGGGTCCAGGTACCAGAAAAACCTGACTTTAAATGATGAGGGTTGATGCGACCACCTTTGTCAAGATGCTGTCCCCAAGTGAGGTCGTGTTTGGATGTCCCCGGGGTTTGCACGCCCACATAACTTTTTTGGAGGAAACAATTCAGCTCGTGACGTCAGGTGTCCTCCCCATGGGTCCTGGCCATGTGGACTTCCTGGAGGGATGGGTGGGGTTCCCACTCTGGGGGTTTCCGCCAGTGCACTGGCCTCTCAGTTCAGCCCCTTAGGGACTAAGGTGACGCCACCTGCACTTGCGCTGAGAGAGTGAGCTCAGGCCTCAGTGAGACACAGGCAGGAAGCAGCCTGGACGTGGTCCCGAGGGTCAGCAGTTCTCCTGTGCCCGACCTGTGCCTTGTGCCCTGCTCAGAGTGCCAGTCCCATCGTAGGGACCCTGGAGTGCCTGACCTGCCTGGAGCTGTGGACGCTCACTCTGGGTCGGGGAGACAAGATGGCCCTGCAGGAGGGAGCCTGGGCCCTGGTAGATGAAGGCAAATGCAGAAGGCTAGTGGCCTCCTGCTTTGTTTGGAGACTAAACAAATAGTTCTCCCGCCTGCCCCACAGTGAGTGGCCTCTGTGCTGGACTCCAGGCCTGCCCTTTGCAGTGACCTGGGGATCTGGAGAAGACTTGACTTCCAAGGGAATGTGGGGGGAGGCGGGACCGGGCTTCTGTCCCCAGATGCTGAAGAGAAGCGGGCAGGGTGGACCTGGGGAGCTGGGCCTCCACCCACATGCTCCTGGACATGCTTGGGGCCCACTGGGTGGGGATGGACCCCGTGGACAGTGCCCAGGCAGACTGGACAGAGGCCACCCAGCCTTGCAGGTGCCGAAACCCCCCCTCCTGCTGTCATCTGTCCAGCCGTCTCCTCACCGAAAGCCCCTGTGCTCGTGGGTGGTCTTGACATCTGGGACGCATCACCTGGGGGGTGGTCCTCGCCACAAGGGCTGGAGGCCTCTCCAGCGCTGGGCAGATTGATGGCTGGCTGGGACCCTGTGGTGTGGGTGGCCCGCGGCCTGCCTGGCCCGCTTGCTCATCCGAACAATGGGCACAGCCTGGCTCTCTGAGGGTTAGCAGGGCCTGACCTCTGCTGCCGACTGGGCTGGGAGACAGGCTGTCCCAGCCAGGTGGCCCCAGGTGACCAGCGCCTCCTCTCCTCCACCTGACCTGCCAGCCTTGCTGTTACACGGCTCTTGTCTTCTTGGGGCCAGGGGAGCTGAGGGCCCCAGCGAGGAGGCCTTGCAGGTCAGGTGTGGGGCCTGAGCCTCTCTCATGTGCCAGGAGGCTTCTGGAACAATGCAGTTCCTGACAGTGGTCACTGACAGCCACTGGACGGGTCACAGTTTAACCAGATCACCCCGGCTCAGAGTGTCCCCCAGGCGTGGGGTGGGCTGTGGTGTGTGGTCCTGGGCATGTTGGGGAGGGCGCGTGCAGTCCTGGAGTTGGCCAGAGGTGTGCCTGTGTCCAGGCTGGCCAGGGCCTTGCCTCCAGGAGGCAGGAAGGGCTCTGATGGCCTCATTCCTGAGGGTCTGCCCTCCCTGGAAGAGTTGGAGTGCCTGGTGGGCACTTGGTCACGCCACTCCATCCTGGAAGAGGGAGCACCTAGACTCTGGAGCCATGGCTTGGTCCACCTCCCGCCTCCTGCTGTGTGATCTGAGCATGTCCTGCAGCCTCTCTGTGCCCAGTTTCCTCATCTGTGAGATGCAGACATGCCCAGGGTCCACTCTGTAGGACAGGCAAGGGTGGGGAGAGCAGGTGTTGGTGGAGAACAGAACGGCACCCCTCTCGTGAAAACAGGAGCAAATAATGGGACTGACAGGCGGGCAGTGTGGCGGCCTGGCCTCCTGACTTTCCATCCCTCTCTTGTCTCGGTCCCTGGCCCTGGGACCTCTCATGTCCACCCCATCTTTCTGTCCTTGAGAACATTGTCCTCTCTGGCCCACCATATCACCATGTCACTGAACTTGGTATTGGAAGCAACCTTATTCTGAGCTGTGTTTTTAGCTGGGCTGCCCCAGGCTGGTGGCTTTGCCTCTCTGGTCCTGTCTTCTGCCACCTCTGATTGGGGCAGGAGTGGTGGCAAAGGGCTCAGCCTCCCCAGGGACTGGAGGTGAAGGCTGAGCTGTAAAGACCACCCTGGGCTGTCTGCCCAGGTGAGGGGTGGCAGCAGTATCGTAGGTGCTGGGTAGCTTCACTGGCCAAAGCAGGCCGGTAGCCCAGCTTGGTGCCCCCTGCAGCCCCGAGTTCTCTCTGCTCTGGAGCCTGTCTGTTCCTGCCCCTCTCCTGGCCTTGGCTTCTGCATCTGGGGAAGCCCCGCTGGCCCCTGCCCTCCGGACTCTGAGCTGCTTTGGATACGAGTTTTTTTTTTTTTTTTCCAATCTTCCAGAAACTTCAGTGCCCTCCGGAAGGAGAACATATATGAGAACAACAAACTGGTGAGTCCCCCACCTTGTCCTGCCCTCCCAGCCCAGCCTCAAAGCTGGTCCTGACCCCAGCCAGTCTTCCCCTGGCTGCACGGGTCCCCTGAGGGCCCGACATAGCTGTCCAGCTCAGTGGCCAGCCCTCCGCTGGGTGACCCGGCATTCCAGGAGTGGCTTCTGATCTTGGAGCCCAACCTCTCTGGTCCTCTCTCTTCCTCAGTAGGGTGGTCAGGGGGCAGGGAGTGGCCAGGGAGCATCCTTCCCTGAAGGGGACCTGGTCCAGCCACCCAAGATGGAGAGGGGTCCCAGGAGACTGTGGGAGGGCCAGGCTTGGTGGTCCTGGGTAGGCCTCGTGGAGGTCAGCAGGAAGGGCGTCCCAAGGCAAGGGACCAGAGGGGCAAAGGCCCTGAGCTGGAGGGCGCCTGGCTGGGCGGGCAGGCCGAGCAGGGTGTGGGGAGGACCTGGGCCTCCCCTCCCAGCCAGATGGGACCCCGGGAGACGAGCTGGGAGCTGCTCCTGTGGGCTGCTAAGGAGGGGCAGGGATGGCCCATGGTGGTGGCCGCGGATGGGACTGGATCCTGGCCTGTTTGGAGGAGGGGTCAGAGGAGATGGGAGCCTCGGGTTTGAGGGCAGCAGGACGCCCTCACTGGGCAGCAGGTCTGCGAGGGGCAGGCGCCCTGTTTGGGGTTCGCATGGGGGTTGTGTAGGCAGTGGCAGATGGAGCCTGCCACACAGGGCGGCCGGGGACAGGGTCTGGGGCCTGTGGGTGGATCATCAGGGTAGACAGAGCCCTCCTGTCTGGGGCCCTGGCCTGGACTAAGTGAGGCCTGTGAGCCCAGAGGAGCTTTTGTGCGGCCACCTTTGGTGGGTTGGTGCTGGCCCTGGGGGTGGGAGCCACCTGCGGCCACGCCTGGGGGACTTGATTTCCAAGTGAGCCCAGGAGTTCGGGGTGGCAGTCAGCAGGTGCTTGGGGACAGCCCCTGGGGGGTTGTCTGCTGGAGGGAGGCAGTGGACGCTGCAGAGCCGGCCAGGGTGGCACTGAAGCTAAGATTGGCCCTGTTCAGTATGCTGCAGGTGCTCTACAATGCACATTTCCCGGCCCTCCCCAGTCCAGTTTCTTAGCCTCAAATGTCTCCTCCCCATGGTTCAGGCTGCTAGGACACAGGCTGCTCTTGTGTCCCTTCTTGGCCCTGGAGGCCCCGGATGGGTGTTGGCCGTGCCCACAGAGAGGCTCCTCCCTGACTGGACAGGGTCTGGTGTCACAGGGCCGAGGGGCCACAAGGCGCTCAGGGGAGGCTCCAGGAAGATGTGAGGTCCCCCAGCAGAGCCCACCAAGTCTGGTTCCCTTGAGCAGCTTCAGGAACCTGGAATCCTGGTCCCTTACCCAGGTGGGCGGGCAGAGCCCCCGGTCTCCCAGGCGGGCAGGGCTTTCTGGGCTCAAAGCCTGTGTCCTGCCTTGCTTGGGCCTTGGCTCCCGGGTGGACTGGGGCCAAGGACAGGGGCTCTCTTGGCCTGCTTCCTGCTGACCCCTGCCCACCTTCCAGGCCTTCCGTGTGGCTGAGGAGCAGCTGGGGATCCCAGCCTTGCTGGACGCTGAGGACATGGTGGCCCTGAAAGTGCCTGACCGGCTGAGCATCCTGACCTACGTGTCCCAGTACTACAACTATTTCCAGGGCCGCTCCCCCAGTGAGTCCCTGCCCCCTGGCCTGGGCCTGGCCGCAGGAAGGAGACCAAGGCCTGGTCGGGCCTGGGTCTCCTTGGGATGCCCTTCTTGGGGCCACCAGATCCATTTATGCTGTAGCCATGTGGCTGTCCCAGCCCCCCAGTGTCCTGACATCCCACATTGTCCCACATTGGGTGGGGGGCTGTGTTATTGCCCTGACACAGGGAGGAGGCCTTTCTGGGGGTCACATTGTGTGGGGCCCCCGAGGCTGTGATTTCCTCTAAAGAGACTGTGGGCTTGTCCCAGTGGAGCGCCCTGGGTCCCCCAGTCCCCAACTGCTGTGCTGGGGGGGGGTGGCGTGGCTCCTGCTCACCCCTGTTCCCAGTTTGTCCTCCACCCCGGGCCACTCTGCCCATTCAGACCCCTGTGCTTCCATGCCCATGGTCCAGTGGCCCATCAGACCCCCCCGTGTCGTCCCGACTCCGGGGCCTGGGGAGGCTGGGCTGGCCCAGACAGGGTGGCAGGCCGGGCCTTTCCCCGGCCCTTCACATGTGGCGCTGCTCCGTCCTTCGCCCCCACATTCCTCCTCTAGGCTCCAGAAATCCCCGGAATTGCTCTGGGCCCAGGGCCAGCCCTGCCTGGTGAAGAAAAGAAAAGTCCCTTTTGCCTGACCCCAAATTGAGCTCTCAGTGGGGACGGGGTGTGGGCCAGGCTGTCCTGGGAAGAATGTGCCCCAGGCCACCCCACCCAGCCAGGGCCCCAGGAGGTCCACCCCACTCCTCCCTGGCACCCAGCCCTGTGCTGGACACCAGAGCCTCTGGGGGGACCCAGGACCTTTCAGAGCCAGGGTGGCAGCTGCTGGGAACCCCTGACCCCTGTGTGTCTTGTGTCAGTTGGGGGCATGGCTGGGGTGAAGAGGCCCTCGTCAGACTCCGAAGAGGAACCTTCTGGGAAGGCCCCATGCCAGCCGGCCAAGCTGCCCGCGCATGCCCCAGCCCGGGGGCCACCACTCTCTCCTGCTAGGACAAACCCCGTGGTCCAGAGGAAGGACGGGGGCTCCGAGGCCCCGTCCCCGAAGACTGTAAGCACCCAACCAGGCCTCCCTCTGGTTTCCCGCCAGCGCTTGTGGGGCTGTGTGTGGCCCAAAACCACAAGGCCCGTGGGGGGCGGCTCCCCGGGGTCCAGAGCACAGACAGCTGCTGCTGTATCTGTGGCACCTCCTGGGGCTGGCTTCCTGTCCCCCGCCGCCCCCCTCCCCGACTCCTTTAAGTCTGCACAGCTGAGATGATCACCCCCATTATACAGACAGGTAAACTGAGGCCCAGAGAGGCCATGCAGGTGGAGCAGAGTCCAAATCCAGACCTTTCTGGGCTCACGCAGGCTTCTTGCTTCCCTGCGGGGATGGGAGGGCCCCGGCTGGCCCTTCATTCCCAGGCCAGCTGGGCTCTGTGAATGGGCTCCACTCCCAAAGGTGGAGCCGAGGGATGGGTGTGGGCGCCCCCTGCTGTCCCTGGGTGATCCCTCGGGCTCTGAAGAGCTGGAGCCCCACATACTGGAAATGGGCTTGGACCCCTGTGCCCCAGCTGGGAAAAGGAGGGACTGGTCTGGTCTGTCCCCTGGTCCCTGTCTCTTCCCCAGGACCACTGAAGCCAGGCGTCCGCTCCCTCCCAGGGCTGGGCTGGAGGCCCTGAACTTGGATCCTTGACCGGCCCCTTGCTAGCCGCTCTTCAGGGGGCTTCCCTTTCTGCTCTGTAAATGGCATCTCCAGATGCCAGGGGCAGCTGGCGCAGGGACGGGAGGGTCAACGTGCCCTGGCTGAGTCGGGAGCCTGGAGAGATTCGGCCGAGGCTCAGCAGCTCCTGCACCTCCCCAGGGCCCCGCGGTGGCAGGAAGCTCGGTCAGCAGCACCTGTGGGGTCTGCGGCAAGCACGTGCACCTGGTGCAGCGGCACCTGGCTGACGGGCGGCTGTACCACCGCAGCTGCTTCAGGTAGGCCCTGCCCCGTGCCCAGGTGTGCACCGCCCTCCTCCCACACCTCCCTGGCTCCTGTCCCTCCCACCCGGCCACATCCTCCTGCTCAGTCTCATCAGTGCCTGGTGGCCAGAGGCGCCCAACTGCTCCGGGGCACCCAGGGTCTGATGTAGTCCCCCCGGTGTCCCCTGGGAGATACCCTTTGACTGCCCTTGCAGACAGGCTGACTCCATCTCCCTAGACCCTCGCAGACCTTCACACTGGGGCTTTCTGCCATGTGGCCGTTGACAGCGCCCTCTGCAGCCACCCTGTGGCTCTCAGGCTAGGGATTCCCAGCAGGCAAGCCCCAGGGGCCTCCATCTGCAAGATTGGGGATGGGTCAGCCCCCAAAGTGGGGCATAGGGTGGCTTGTGTGTGTGCTGACAGGAACACTCTCTGGGGCTCCCACACGCCCCCAGGGAGATTCTCAGTGGAGCCTATGACTCACGGTGGTTACGGACATGAGAAGAGGGTTTGTTGAATGACTCAGTGACCTCATGTGTAGACATGTGGAGTACATCTGTGTTTGCTCTTGGGAAAGCATGAACAGTGAGCAGCTGAAGGAGTGATCAGAGCCCCTGTGACCTTCTCCTGCAGGTGCCAGCAGTGTTCCAACACACTGCACTCAGGGGCCTACCGAGCCACAGGGGAGCCGGGCGTCTTCGTCTGTACCAGCCACCTCCCCAGAGCTGCCTCTGCACAGCCCACGTTGCCAGGCCCAACCTCCAGACAAACGGGGGCCGTCCCTGGGCACGCCTGGCCCCCCAGTGCCCCACAGAAGGCCCAGGAGACAAATGGGCTGAGAGAGGCAGCCCCAAAGGCCAGGCCAGTGGCCCAGGGGCCTGTAATAGGCAATGCGACTGCCAAAGGTTTTGTTCCCGCTACACGGGACCCTCCAGCCCCCTCCGCTCCCATCCATGGGAGGAGCCCAGCGGGGCCCAGGCTGTCCACGAGCCGAGTGACCTCCTCTGTGGACGGCAGAGTCAGCACATGTGTGACCAACAGCTCCCCAGTGGGGTGGTCATCTCCTGCTCAGGGTGCAGTGGCAGCCAGCTCGCGTCCTACTGTGTCCCCAAGTGCCCCGGACCTTCGTCCTGCCACACCGCAAGGCCGGGGAAGCCCCCAAGTGGCATCAGCCCAGACCAAGCTGCTTTCGAGCTCAGGGTCCCCAGGCACAGCGGACGCTCCAGCCTGGACCCCCTCGGCCTCCAGGACCCAGCAGGCCCGGGAGAAGTTCCTCCAGACGCCAGTGTCCCCCAGCAGTGGCCCAGCAAGCAAGGGCCCCGCTGCAGCAGATGCCTCTCCCTGCAGAGAGCAGGCCCTGAGCTTCCTCAGGAAGGCCCTCCCGGGGCTGGAGCAGGCTGGCACCCAGGCACCCAGCAGGTAGGTGGAGGAGGGGACCTAGGGCACAGTCACTGCTGTCCACGGAGGCCAGAGGGGTTGGAGGGCCGCTGGGGGTTCTGGGCCCCGCCCTTCCTGGCCTTGTGATCACAACAGCTGCATTCCCCAGCCTCAGTTTTCTCTTCTGGGAAATGGGGAGAGAATTCCAGGAGCGGCTGGGCTTGGTGATGGGCTGTCATTGGCACATGCTCAGGGTCTTCCATGCGATGACATTGCCACCAGCGTCTGCTGTGCGGCACACACAGGTCGGTTCAGAGGACCCTGCACCTTTGTAGATGAGAAAACAGGTTGGGTCCAGGGTGTCCCACTGGCCGGTCTGAACTGGCCGTCTGACTGGCGCATGTGCAGTGCCTTCCCCAGGACCTTGAGCAGATGGCAGAATGTGGACGGTCACTGTTAGTGTCTGGAGTTGCTCACTGGGCAGCTTTAATGGCACAAGTGTCCTCTCAGTCCTGGAGGCCAGCAGTCTGGCTTTGGGCTGTCGGCAGGCTGTGGTCCCCGGGAGGCCCCAGGGCAGGAGCCTCTGGTCTTTGGGTGCAGGAGGCTCTAGGTGTGCCTTGGCCTGCGGCCACATCTCTCCATCCTGCCCGCATGTCTCCTCTGTCTCTCAAAGGACCCCACTCCCGCCAGACCATATCATAATGTGACCACATCCACAAGGCCCTTTGTGCACATAAGGTCCCCCTCTGAGCGTCCCTTTTGGACGTGAACTCCACCCAGCACAGTCTCCCAGCGAGTAAGGAGACCCCTCCCAGCTGGTGACATGCTGTGCCTGCCGCCTGTGTGACCCCTTTATGCATTTTTGGCCTAGACCTGCTTGGTTGCAGCCCACACTGGTGCCCAGACTCCCAGGGTGGTCACGGGGATGGGAGGAGGGTGGGTCCACCTGCCTTTCCTGGGGACACCTCAGCGGAATGGAGCTCCAGGCTCGGGGAGGTGCCTGTGTCCCCACCCTGGGCTCTGCATGCCAGCAGCCTGGGCTTCCTGCATGTGTCTGCGTCCGAGGCAGGGCACGGTGGCCCCAGGCCATGCAGCCCGTGTGAAGGCCTTGTGCCCCTCTGGCCCACGCAGCTCTGAGTGTGCAGCTGGGTAGCCCAGGCCAGCTGTGGCTCTGGGCAGGGCCTCCACAGGGCAGTCCCTGGTGCTCCTGGGTCCTGGCCTCCATGTGGGGTGTGTTTGGGAACATTTTTAATCTCAGCCAATGCTGGCTTTAGTGGCAGATCAGCCACCAATGTATACGAGTGCCAGAAATCGATGCCTGTGGCCCATCCTTTGCCGGGTGGACTGTGCTCTCGGGGGTGGACGCTGGGAATTAGCTTTGGGAGAGGCTGTGCAGCTTCTGCCTGGGACACTGAGAGAGGATCCTGGATCCTCCCCTGCCTGAGGCCTAATCTCTTACCCACAGGCCGTCCCCAGTCACCACTCCTGCCTGCAATCCCCATCCCCAAACTGAAGGGCCACAAGCGATTCCCGCAGCCCGAGCCTCACATTCAGCGGCTCCCCAGGCTCGTAGCCCCCCTTCAAGGACGGAGCTGCCTCCCCCATTGAGTGTGGGCAGCACGTCAAGGCCATCGCCCCAGGCTGGCAGAAGGAACTTGACTGTATCCTCTGGGGTCAGCTGGACAAGTGCTGTCTCTAGGCCGAAGCCGGAGGCCCCACCTGCAAAGGGTAAGAGCCTTTTTAATGTGGGGTGCGGAGTCGAGGGGTGAGGGCTGCTGGACCCCCTGCCCTTCTCCCTGAGCTGCATCCTGTGTTTCTGCTGTTGCACAGCCCGGCCCTTGCTCTTGCTCCTGGACCCTGTGATTCTCTTGTGACACCAGCCTCATAGCTCCCCTGGGTCCTTGCTTGCTCCCATGTGGCTGTGACACGTGTCTGCAGGGCCTCACTATCTGTCACCATGTGCCACCCAGTGTCTGCTTCTCCTTGCAGGTGCCCAGCCCAGTCCCTATGCTTCTGTCCTCAGTCGAGATTCTGGGTGGTGCCCAGTGCCGGCTCTGTCCCTAGTGTGAGGCTCGTACCTGTCATGATGTCCCCCATGAAGATCTGCTGCCCCAGGCCCAGCCCTTCCTGGAGGCTCGGGGACACGCACTGCTTCCTGTCTCAGGGCCGTGAGACTCTGGTCCCGGAGCGTTTTCCAGACATCTGGGTGGATCTCGGAGGTTCCTGTGCCACCATCAGGCAGGCTCAGAGCTTTCGGATTGCACTGTGCAAATTGTTTTTCTGGATCTTTCCATCCCTTTGGCTGAGCCCCCCTGATAAAGCCACCGTCAGGTCAGAGCCAGGAGAGCCGATAGATGGACAGCTCAGCTCAGCTGTTCCCTTCCATGGGCACATGAGTGACCAGGGCTCCCCCCACACACCCCTGCCCCGATGGCAGAAGAGGAGGCGAGGCTCGGGGTGGCCAGGCTGGAGCCCCACTTCTAGATTCCAGCCCAGGGCTCTTCCTGAATGCCTGGTGGCTCTGGGGGCCTTGGAGGGTGGGTGGCTGCAGGAAGACAGGAGGGGGAGGCCCTGTGTTCCCAGGACAGGGCAGACCCCTCTTATGAATTGTCTCCTTGGCCCTTGACCCCCTTTGTCTGCCCAGGCCCAGGTGCCAGCCCCCAGGAAGGCCAGGAGGACAGGCCAGAAGAATGGAGGGCCCGCCTGAAGCCTGTGGACAAGAAGACCCCCGCTAGCAGGTGAGGGGCTGGTGGGCGGGGCTCAGCCTGCCTGGACCCGCTCCTGTGCCCGGTGTCTGCAGCATGGGACCGAGTGGGCACAGGGTCTGGGCCAAGGTGCTTGAGGGCACACGCCAGCAGATGCACGCACCATGGCACCAACAAACACACGTCACTTGTGCCCCTCAGGTGTACGTAGCAAAAGCCGACTCACACCAGACAAATGACAGGCACCATTTCACACCACCTGAGCCACAGAGACCGCTCACACCAGTTGAGTGACAGGGAACAACTCACACCAGCTGAGTGACAGGGGTCTGTTCACACCAGCTGGCTTACACCTGCTGAGTGACAGGGGACAACTCATGCCATCTTGAGTGTCATAGAATAACTCACACCAGCAGAATGACATGGGGACACATCCCAGATATCAGGCAACGGGGCAGATGTCCACTCCTGGACAGGGCAGCTCACGTGCGCGTGCACACGGGGTCCTGGGCTCGTGTCTGGTCACCCGTGACTACCTGAGCCTGTGCTCACATCTGGGGGGTTCACAGGTGAGTGTGCCCCTAGGGGTCTTGAGGTGGGAGGCAGGTGATCACCCAGAACATTCCAGGCGCCCTCTCTCCAGGCTTCCTGCCTCTCTCCTGTCCGCCTGTCCTTTGGGAGGCTCTCCCAGGGGCCCAGGCCTGTGCTGATGGGGCGGTGGCTGACCCTGAGCCTTCTGCCCAGGTCTTTGGATCTGAGGGAGCCGCGGATCCCGACAGAGCTGAGGGTGGGAGAGGCCCTCAGGAAGGTCTCAGGCGACTCCACTGGGGGTGTCTGCATCACCCTGACCCCTGTGCGGCCTGAGGGGACACCAAGACCAGTCAGCCCCAGGTCTGGCATCTCAGGTAATGCCAGAGGGACCCCGGGGCTCCAGGCGCTTTGGGGGTGGGGTCCGTGGACTGTGGCGGGAAGGGCAATGGTGTCCTCAGCTGGAGGAGGGCAGGCACGGGCGCGTGTGTGTTCTAGATGGGACTCGGGTGCACGGCTCGGGTGTGGGGAGCGCGTGCGTGTTAGTCAGGATGCTGCCCTCTGTGGGTGGACGTGGCCAGTCTGGGTAGCATGCGGTGGTCCTGAAGGTCTCTGTGTCTGTCGGAGGGGCCCAGGGTGTTGTGATGTCAGCGCTCCTGGTGGCTCAGGAGTGGCGGCCTTCTGGCCTGACACGCGGCTCTGTCCCCTGCCTGCGGGCAGCCCCTCCCCCCTCCCCCACCCTCGTCCACCGCAGGAGACTGGCCATCCCTGCCAATCTTGATGTTTCTGCTGACTGGCTGCAGTCGGAGCCCTCTGGGCAGGAAGCCCTGGCCGGGAGCTGGAAGGAGGAGAAGCCCCATCCTGGGGGCAAACCAGGTCAGCCCCAGAGCCGTGCTCCTATTTGGGGTGTAGACCAAGGAGGCTTCCTGGGGAGGACACGCTTCCTGGGGCTCTGGAGGATGTGTAGGAGCTCACTGGGCCAAGGCGGCCTGGAGGACCAAGTCTTTTTTGTGAATAGGGTGGCAGCACTGTCCTGGCAGCCTGAGAGTCTGGGGGGGCCAGGGGTGCTAGAGGGGTGTGTCTGTCACTGCTGATCCAGAGGAAGGTGGGGACATGGCGGGATGGGTTCTGGGTTGGCCTGTGCGAGCTCTTGACCTTTGGGCACCAGCAGGGACTGCCCAGGTACCTGTGGCTGGGGTAGGCAGCCCTGGGTCAGACCAGTCCAGGCCACGTCCAGGTCTCCCTGGGCCTGGTGCCCTATGGCCCAGGAGTTCAGCCTGCCCCTTCTCTAGGGAGGCCCTTGGGCCCGGCCGCTGTGCCCACTCAGCCCGGCAAGAAGGTGACCTCCCCCGTCAGGGTGAGTGGACTCTCAGTGGTGGCCTGGAGCCTGGACCCCACGTCCCCCACTGCACTTGGTCCTTAGCTGCACCCAACTGTCCCCCTCCCTCCCTCGGTCCCCAGCTGCACCCTGACTACATCCCCCAAGAGGAGATCCAGAGGCAGGTGCAGGACATCGAGAGGCAGCTGGACGCCCTGGAGCTCAGGGGCGTGGAGCTGGAGCAGCGTCTGCGGGCAGCAGAGGGAGGTGAGCGGGCCCCGTCCCTCCTGAGTGCCCGCCTGGCGGCCAGCTCTCCCCTGGGGGATGTCCTGGCCCTGGGACCTGAACCAGACGGAGACCCCTGGTGCTGGGCGGGGGCTGGGAGCCGGCAGTCCCTCCGCGTGCAGCCAGCTTCTGTCCCCAGATGACACGGAGGACGGCCTCATGGTGGACTGGTTCCAGCTCATCCACGAGAAGCAGCTGCTGCTGAGGCTGGAGTCGGAGCTGATGTACAAGTGAGCGCCCCGCAGCCCGGGGCCAGGGGCCTGTCCCAGAAGGCGCCGGTGGGGCAGCCAGGTCAGGCCAGGCCTCAGACCTCTGTGTCCGGCAGGTCCAAGGACCAGCGCCTGGAGGAGCAGCAGCTGGACCTCGAGGGTGAACTGCGACGGCTGATGGCCAAGCCCGGTGCGTCCTGTGTCCCTCCTGCCAGGAAGGCCAGCCTGGGGGCCCCAGGGCGCGGGCCAGCAGGGGTGGGAGGCCTCAGCCCCAGGCCGGCAGGAGGGGTGCGGGCTCCCCAAGCCGCCCTGCTGCCCCCGTGGGAGGCCGGTGGTGTTGCGAAGGGGCCCGAGCAGGCAGGGCTGGCTTTGAGTCCCCTGTCCTTCCCTTCCTGGCCGTGTGTCCTTGGCCACGTCGCTTGGCTCTGCGCCTGACTTCCATCCTCCCCAAACGCGGCCGCATGGCACCCTTCACAGCTGGTGTGGACAAAAAGAGGGCAGTGGTGAGGCGCGTCCCCCAGCGGCCATGACTGCCCTCCCTGTCCTTGCCGTGGCTGTGGCCTGCGCCTGCCTCTGTGTCCCACTGTGGCCAGCACTGGGGGAGGAGGCTCAAGGGACAGGGTCCAGCATGCAGACTGGTCGGTCCCTTCTCCCACTCGCTGGCCTGGAGCCTGCTTGGGGGCTTAGCACCCACCTTCCCTCGAGGGAAGAAGCCCACAGCTGGGCAGGTGACACTGTCCCCCAGCGGGGTGGGGATGCCTCTGACCGGCTGTCCCTGCAGAGGCTCTGAAGTCACCCCAGGACCGGCAGCGGGAGCAGGAGCTGCTGAGCCAGTATGTGAACACGGTGAATGACCGCAGTGACATCGTGGACTTCCTCGACGAGGACCGGCTCCGGTGAGGCAGGATGTGCCCAGGGGAGGGCAGGGCTGAGGGGCCGGGGAGCGTCGCCCCCCGAGTGCCAGGCCCCTCCCAGCCAGGCTGCCCTCACTTGCACCTTCTGCCCCCCAGGGAGGAGGGAGGCCTGTGCGCTCAGGCGCGTCCCTCAGGCGCGTCCCTCACGCGGGCCCCTCACGCCACACAGGCCTCCCAGGCCACCGCCTCAGTTCCTGGCCACAGAGCTCCTTCCTGCTCCAGGTCCCCGGCCTTCAGGGTCAGCGTTGTCCAGAGGAACTTTCTGCTGTGAGGGAAATGTCCCCTTACCAGAGCTGTCCCTCATGAGCCCCTGGCCGCGTGGTCATTGGTCGCTTGTCCTGTGGCCTGCGCAGTTGGGAGCTGGATCTGAAGTTTTGTTTTTGATGTGAATTTTCACAGCCGTGTGTCTTCTGGCAACAGCGCTGGGTCGTGTGGCCTCGGGGCTGTCCCCAAGGACCTTTCCTGTCTCATGTCCCAGATGAGGGCCTTGTCCGGTCCACACAGGGTCAGCAGCCCAGGCTGAGCCCATGAGGGAGCCTGAAGGCACCTTCCCAGGCCCCCCTGCTGTCCCTGTGTCAAAGTTGGGGTCAGCCTAGGGCCCCTGCTGTTCCCAAGCCACTGGTGTGGTCAGCCCAAGGCATCCTGCCATCCCAGGTCACTGGTTTGGTCAGCCCAAAGCCCCTTGCTGTCTCCAGGTCACTGATGTGGTTAGCCCAGGGCCCCTCTGCCCTAGATCACTGGTGTGGTCAGCTCAAGTCCCCTGCTGTCCCAGGTCACTATTAAGGGGCTAGGCCTGGAGAGGGCAGGGGTCCACCTGGTGGGGAGAGGGGTGTCAAGCTCCGGCCTCTTGGTCTGAAGAAGGCAGGTGGCCCCAGTCAGGTGGGGCCAGGGCTCTGGTAGGAGGGGACCAGAGACAGTGTGCCTCCCCTGCCCTGTCCAGGGCCTGTCCCCTCATGGCCACCCCATCTGTGTTCCAGGGAGCAAGAGGAAGACCAGATGCTACAGAACATGATCCAGAAGCTGGGTACCTCAGGTCAGCAGTGTGGGCGCAGGGGCTGCCGGGACTGGGGGCTGGGTCCAGACGGCAGCCTGGCCAGGCCGACTCCCCAGGGAGCTGAGCGGCTGATGGCTGGGGATCTGTGTGGGGCACTGGCCGGGGCTTTCACCGTGCTCAGTGGGGTGGGCACGCTGAGGATGGGGTGCAGTTCTCCTCTGGGCCCTGGAAGACCCTGGTGGGTGGGAGGGAAGGACTTCCCACAGGGACTCGTGTGGGCAGCGGCCAGCATGGAGCACAACCTCACTCTCCTTCTTCTCCTCAGGTCTCCAGAGGAAAAAGTCCAAGTTCCGCTTTCCTAAGATCTGGTCCCCTAAGAGCAAGACTGGTCACCCTGAGTGAGCTGCCCGGCAGGCCCAGACCTTGCATCTAGGCTGGAGGAGGGACTGACTGGAGGGGCACTCTGGCCACAGGGCCTGTGCCTCCCTTTCCTCGTGCCTTCAAAAAAGAAACTAGATGGGTGCAGTGGCGCATGCCTGTCATCCCAGAGACATGGGAGGCTGAGGCAGGAGGATCGCAAGTTCAAAACCAGCCTCAGCAAAAAGCGAGGCTCTAAGTAACTCAGGGAGACCCTGTCTCTAATTAAAATACAAAACAGGGCTGGGGAGGTGGCTCAGTGGTCGAGTGCCCCTGAGTTCAATCCCTGGTACCAAAAAAAGAAACTGACGGATGTCCCTGATGTCCTCCTCCACATTCCTTAGGTGAGCTGGGGGCCCAGCACCAGGCCCAGGGGCTCTACCTCAGTCCAGCTCTACCCAGAGGGGATGAGCTCTGTGGCCTTGAGTAGCAGCTGACCCTCTCTGGGCCTTGCCTGCGCTCACTGAGAAGGGTGCTCTGCCTCCTGGCTGCATGGAGAGGCTGGACATGAACTTCGTGGGGGGGGGGGGCGCTGTGGAACTGAACTCAGATGTGGCCCCCAGGAGACGTGCATCTCAGTGGCCTGACATCTGAGACCTTGGCTGTTCCAAACACTGGTGGCCGGGCCCAGGAATGGAAGACCCCTGGGTAGGGCAGGGTGTGACTGGCCAAAGGAACCTCAGGACCACGGTCTGGGAGCTTAAAGATGCCCAGTGTGGGCAGAGAGGCCAGAGGGAAGAGTCGGGAGGCAGACTGCCCGAGTGGTCACCAGGCCTGGGCCAGGTGCTCCAGCGTGGCCTGGTGCCCTGGGCCCTGGGCATCTGGGAGCAGTTCTGAGCAGAGGCCCCGGAGCCTCTGTGTATTAGGGGGAAGCAGGAGGGGCTTGGGCGGTGGGCTGACGGTGCAGCTGAGCCTCTGGGGCTCCCCAGACCAATGTCCTTAGATCTGACCCACCAGGGGACTTGTGGCAGTGTGGCATCTTGGCCACCAGGGGGAGGCAGAGTGCCACGCAGCAGGGATGGGGCAGCCTGGCGCACCCCCAAAGCGGCTCCATTTTTCAGATAAGGAAATCGAGGCTCAGAGAGGTGATACAGTGTCCTGAAGCTGCACAGCACATTATATGCAGGCTGAGGACTAGAACCTGGGGTCAACCTCTGGGCTTCTGGACTGTGCCCTTGAGGGGCCGTGAGTGCTCCTGGGGGGTGAGTCAGGAGGGGAGCCATGGGGCTTTTGTACAGGGAAGGCAAGGGTGTCCAGCTACTACCTTGGCCACCTGGGCTGGACCTGCTGGGGCCACACAGCTCCAAGGTTCCCCACAGGGCAATACTCAGGATCCAGCCATCAGGGGACCCCAGGAGCATCTGTGGGGTGCCTGGTGGCACTGGCTGGACACCCCAATGCTCAATAAATGGGGCCCTGAAAGTCAAGTCCCCCAAGCACTGACCAGCACTGACCAGCAGGACATATACATTGCTGCCTGCCAGGGGCCCGGCACCTGCAGCCCCATGTGACACTGGCCATTGGGATGCAGAGTTAAGGTGCCCGACCTGGCCAGATGCTAGGCTCTAGCAGCCACTGTTGGAGCAGTGAGGCCTGTGGGGCCCTGGGGTGGCCCCTTGGGGACGGGGTGGCGCTGGTTCACCCTGCTTGCCCCCAACTTGGAAGTGAACCGGCCCCCCCACAGCTGACCGGACAACTTGCCCTGCACCCCAGACTGGACTTGGGGCTTGGGCAATCTCCAGAGGTGCCCCAGGGCCACCCTCTCCTGCCTGTGTACACAGGAGGCACTTAATGTGTGCTCAGTCCTCTCTATTCCCAGAGTGGCCTGGAACAGCAGTGTTCATGCGTGGATATAGGGTGGGGGATAATTAGGGAGGGGCTGCCTCTGTCCCAACCCAGCCCTGTGTCCATGGGTCCCCAGGCCTGCAGCCTCCAGGGGTCTGAGACAGAGGCTGGGTTGAAGGACAGTCCAGGCCTGGGCTCAGCCAGGTGGCCCATCTTCCCAGGGCCCTGTGGGGACTCCAGCCTCACCCCTCTCCACTGCTCCCAGCTCCCTGGCCTCTGTGTTGCAGGCCCCTCTGCCTGAACCCCCAAGTCCCCCGTCCAGGTCCCTGTGCCCTCCTGGGAGAGGGGCCCTGGTCCCTCAGCCCCTGGAGCTCACCTGGCTTTGGCTGTTGTCCGGTCCCTCTCTCAGGTGGAGGTTCTTGATGTCAGGGGTTGCCTGTCCCCGCACTGTGTGTGTGTCCCCTGCTCTAGTATGGTGCCTGACCCCGAGCAGAGCTTGGCCGACATCCCCTGGGGGGTGGGTGAAGGAGCGAGCAAACCAGGTTCCACCTGTGACGCAGGTTGTCCGCGCCCTGTGGCCTCCAGTTTGTCACCTGTGCACCAGCAATGGAGACTGACACTGCCTGAACCCGACTCAGCGCCCTGGTGAGGGCTTGAGGTCCCTTGGGGGGCCTTCTGGGGTGTCCCAGAGCTGAGGGCCACACCTCTACTTGGGCCAGACCCCCACCCCCAGTCTCTGCAGCAGTGTGTGTAGGGCTCAGGGTGGGAGTTGAACCCACAGCCCACCCCTGTTCCTGAGGGCCAGGGCCTGGTCACCCACACCTCCATGTAGGCCTGGGTGTCCTCAGGGGGGTCAGGAAGACCCCAAGGGACTCAGGGGCCGGGGAATGTGGAGCAAGGTGTGGGAGTGGACACAGCTCTGGGTGGCCCCCTCCCCCTTCCCTGGAGATTCCTAACCCTGCAGGAGGGGTACAGCCAGAGGACAGGGGCGGGGCGGGGCGGGGCCCTCTCACCACCGCACCTGGTCACCGCCTTCCAGGGCCCTGCTAGCAGAAGCCTTTGACCAGGTGCGGTGGTCAAAGCACATCTGTCTGCTGGTCCACCTAGGGGTCTCCCCCGGGCTGGCCTTTCCGGAGGAAGCCCAGCCTGGAGTTTGGGGTTCTGCACTAACGAGGCCTCCCAGGCGGCCAGGAAGCCCTTGATGAAGACGGATAGAGCGAACGCGGCCCATTAAATTGTTAATAAAGAATATCCCACACACACCTTCATCCGCAGCCGTCCTGACACTTTATAAAGCACATTAGGATGTAATCCAATTGAAACCGCAATATCGAGAACATCTTATCACAAATTGAAATTATATCATATTCCTCTTTTCTTAAATTAAAAAGCTAAAACCTTTTTGTTTGCTCTCACGCGGTTGTGTAAAACTTAATCAGTGGTTTTAACAACATTACGTATCCATATGGGCCATTTCTAGTCTCATTTATTTACGAGGGAGAACTTTCCAGAAAGTGGCGATTGGATTTGTGAGCGGAGGCACCGGGCAATGGGGCTGCTTCCCTGGGGAGATGTCCTTGGTCTTGTCAGCGGGTGGCTGGGGTCAGGGTCCAAGGGACACTGGGACGATTTTGGTGTATGTGTGTTGGCCTTTGAAGAATCTCTGCTGGGCAGAGAGAAGGCAGAAGGGGCTGGTGGCCGGGTCCAGCGGTGTGGGAGGTAGCGTGGGCCCGGGTCTAGGGTGCCCCCAGGGCTGGAGGCCCAGGTGTGGGCCCAGGGGCAAAGCTCAAATGGCCACGTGAGACCTTGAGGACAGGGACCAGAGCCCACTGGACTGACTCGGAACTAAATTTCCTGCTTCAGCTCAGGGTACCATGAGGCCCTGGCAGCCAGGGCAGCTGGCCAGGCTTTCAAGGGACGATAGATGAAGAGGGACATTCAGGTGAACAGCTGCTGGTGGGGAATGGGATCCTGTGACGTGGGCACATGCTACAGTAGCCACTGGCCACAGGTGGCTGTCCAGCACCTGAAACAAAACACACCGGGGTTTCCAAAGGACCTGTGGCATCTCCCTACCAATATTTTGTACTGATTCCTTATTGAGATGGCAACACTTTAGGAATATTGGGTTCGATAAAATGTCATTAAATAGGGGCTGGGGTTGTGGCTCAGCGGTAGAGCGCTCGCCTAGCACAGCGGGGCCCTGGGTTGGATCCTCGACATCACATACAAATAAAATAAAGATGTTGTGTCCATCAAAAACTAAAAATAAATATAATAAATAAATAAATAAATAAATAAATAAATAAAAGTATTGTGTCCAACAACAACTAAAACAAAATACATTTTTTTAAAATGTCATTAAATGAACTTCACCTTCACCTCTTTTTCCTCTTTTTCGTACTGGGATCGAACCTGGGGCTGCTTAACTGCTGAGCTACATCCACAGCCTTGTTTGGATTTTGATGAGAGTCAGGATTTCGCTAAGTTGCTTAAGGCCTCACAAGTTGTTGAGGCTGGCTTTCAACCTGCAGTCCTCCTGCCTCGGCCTCCCGAGCTGCTGGGACCGCGGGTGTGCGTCACCGCGCCCGGCAAAGCCTCTTTCTTTTTTGCTGATTTTTAAAAAACATGTCAACTAGAAAGCTCTGAATGAGGCACATGGCCCCTGCATTCACAGATGGCCTTGTGATCTGTGGTCGGGTGGCTCATTGGGATCCCACTGGTGTCCTCTTGGTGTCTCCTGAGGGCATGGGCACCACTCCCCTGCCCTGTCCACTTTCTGTCCACTCTCTCTCTCCTGGGGCCGTGCTTTCCTGTTCCGCATCCTCCTTCCCCTTCCTGGCCACCGTGTGTCTGGGCTGGTGTCCCCCACCCTGCTGGAAACCCTCAGGGTTCTCCTCTGTTACGTGCAAGGCTAAGTCCTGTGTCACCTTGGACACCCCCCACCACCACCACGTGCCCAGCTGTGGGAGAAAGCTGTCAGGTGCTTGTCAGAGGGAACATTTGTCCTAGGACGCTGTTTCCAGTGACATCATCGGGGGAAGCACCCGGTGACGTCGACAGTCTCCCTAGACTGCTTGTTCCTTCCATCACCTCTGTCCACTCATCAAGCGCCTACTGACCGCTCCTGGGGGCGGGGCTGCTTGCTGGGTGCTGAGGGTCCCACAGCGGACAAGATGCCCACAGGTCCCGTCCTCAGGTTCTCAGGGGCAGGGGACAAACAAGCAGGCAGAGAACTGCAGCTGGGGAGGGGCTCTGTGGGGGGGGGGTCTCAGAGGAGGGTTAGCCGGACTGGGGGCAGTCGGGGTGCAGCACCTGCAAAGGCCCTGTGGCAGGGGCAGGCACGGGATCTGGCTAGAACTAGACTCTGATGGCGCATGGGGTGGCCGGGTGGACAATCAGGACAGGGGCCATGGTCAGCCTCCAGGGGAGGACCACCTTCACAGTCTGCTCTGGCTGTGGTGTGGAGGGTCACAGGGGGCAGAGGCGTGGGGCAGCAGGAACTTGGATACATAGCCCAGGGCCAGGTGGGCCTGCTCTCCCCTCCTTGGCCAGAATTTAGTCACATGGCCCCACAGAGCTCCAAAGGACACTGGTGCGGGTGGCCTCTCTCTGGTCCTCCCAGTAGGCCTTGCCCTAGAGGAGGATGAGGGATGGACACTGGGGATATGAGTGTCCTGTGGCTGCCGTAACCAAGTGCCCCAGACTGGGGCTTAAACTAGCACATCTCGGTTCCCCCCAGACCAGAGGTCCGAGACCGAGGTTCAGGGACAGGCTCCCCGTGACGGTATCAGGGGACAATCCTTCTGGCCTCTTTTAGCTTCTGGTGACTGCCAGGGTTCCTGGGCCTGTGGCCACATCCCTCTAGTCTCTCCCCCCATGTCCCCGTGGCCACCTCCCCTGGGCCTGTGTGTCCAGATTTTCCTCTTGCTGTAAGGTCACCAGCCGTGGAATCAGGGCCACTCCCTGCTGGACGAGCTCCTCTCGCGATCTTCAACCGGTGACGTCTGCAGAGACCCGGTTTCCACACCAGGTGACGCTCCGAGGTTCTGAGTTTGGAGCACTGTTGGCCCCACCTCTTGGGGTCTTGGTCTCCTGCTGGTCTTTCTGTTTGCAGATGGCAGAGCCCTACCTGAGTGGGGCTTGGGGCCAGGAGGGGACACAGGGCCACCAAAAGGTCACCAATGCTGGGGTCAGGGCCCCACATTCTTTGAGGGCGTTGGTCACTGCTATGAGTAGACTCAGCTGCATGGGTGGCCTCGCATCCCAGAGGCGCGTTTGTCCAGGCTGGGGACACGGGGACTGGTACAAGGCTGGCAGAGGTCTGCTCCTTATTGTGGCTTTTGGTAAGGACTCAGAGAGTGATGAGACTCTGTGCAAGGCAGCCACTCTGAGAGCGAGAGGCAAGATCAGGGATCTGCCAGGATGATGTTCTGTCAGAAGCCGTCACCTGCACTAACCAAGGGCTCTGTGCTGGGTTGAGAAAGCCAGTTGTCGTGGCCCAACCGGAACTAGTACCAAAGGAAGTAAGCAGTTGAAGGCCCAAGAGGAGTATGTCCTGAGACTCTAAGTCTCCCCTTAAGGAAACAGTCTGATTATTATCTTTGCTGGATGTGGGGTGGGGCACAGGGTGGCATGTGGAATGTGAGACTTATAGAGCCACAGCAGCCAGTTTGGGACCCTGAGGGATGAGACTGGCAGGTCAGAAAAGAAAGGCTCCTGGGTCTTCGTTGATGTTTTGTTGAGCCCTGAATTTGCCAATCTAGAACCTTCTGGTACAGAGGGTAAAGAAACCCAGGATTCTTTGACTTGAGCATTTGGACAGTCGAGTCAGAGTCCTAACAGATTTCACCTGCACCGTGTAGTCCTTTCTCCCCACTCCCCAAGGATGTGAGCTCCTTGGAGATGTGGCCCTCAGCCTGACGGATAATCCCACAGGGATTTGGGGACCAGTGAGACCATCTTGGGTGCCCTCATCATCTAAGCTTGCCTTGGGTGGCAGGGGCACCATCCTGTCCACTCCTTGAAGCAGGGGACACCAGGGCTTGCGAGCAGGGTTGTGTCCCAATCCCATCCAGGATGAGGCCGGCTCAGCTGCCCCCAGCTCCTCGGTCCTCTGAGGGGCTGGCATTGGGTCATGTGACCTCCAGCAGGGCCCTGGCTTCCTCGTCATGGAAGGGGGACACCGTGAGGGTGATGTGCGGCTCCTGGTTATTTCGTGGGCAGGAAACTCTGAGGGCCACTGGCCCAGGGACAGGCTCTCTGTGGGTGGGCAGAGAGCGGTCTTGGGTCCTTCCCTGGGTGGGAAGCAGGACTCTGAGGGCTCCAATGTAGCCCCCCATCAACATCAAATGCCCCAGAAGGACAGACTCTCAGCCCTCCTGCTCCCAGAATCCACCCCCACATGACTTTTTTTTTTTTTTTGGTCCTGGGGGTTGAACCCAGGGGCGCTTAACCACTGAGCCACACCCCCAGCCCTTTTTCACATTTTATTTAGAGACAGGGTCTCGCTGAACTGCTTAGGGCCTTGCAAGTTGCTGAGGCTGGCTTTGAACTCGCCATCCTCCTGCCTCAGCCTCCCCAGACCCTGGGATCACAGGCGTGCACCACTGTGCCCTTTATTATTTATCTATTTATTTTTTAGTTGTATCTGGACACATACCTTTATTTATTTATTTTTATGTAGTGCCGAGGATCGAACCCAGGGCCTCGCTCGTGCTGGGTGAGCGCTGTACCGCGGAGCCACAACCCCAGCTCATCCTCCACCCTTTTTTAAAGAGGTTTATTTTGGATCACGGTTTTGGAGGTCCAAGGTCCAGGGAGTGTGACTTCTCAGCAGAGGCGGTTCAGGGCATCACCTGGGAAGAGTCAGGGAGGACACGTGTGTGTATGCCTCTCTGGTCTTTCTCCCATTATTTTTTCCTATGTGGGATCATCGATTCTGGCTTCCAACAGGCCCAAGAAGTTCCACTTCTTATCTGACCACTTGCAAAAGGCTTGGGTGCTGCCCCTTGACCCCTTGGGCTTGCATGCTGGATCTGCAAGGGGTTCCCTCCTCCTTTGCATGACCCCAGGCTACAGCTCTCAGGTAAGGCTGGGAGGGTCCCCAGAAGCCAGCGGGACTGTCACTGCTCCAAGAAGTAGGAACTGAAGGGCCCCATCAGCCAGCAGCGCTTGGCGAGGCTCCAGACTGCAGCCAGGTAGCAGGCTGCGCTGTCTCCCTCCCCTGGAAGTGGGGGGCCCTCGGGGGGACGCTGAGTCACATGACCCATCAGCTGACAAAACAGGATGACTCAGCCGGCAGCTGTCGGCCCCTGAAATAATGACAAAAACAATTAGCAATCCAAGCAGTAGCCTTTCCTTAATTATCTCCTCCGAGTTTAATTAACTAGCTAAATTAT